TCGCGATTCAATTAATTGACCATGCGGCTGAAAATCCGTAGTGTACTCTCAGTTATAGTGCAGCGCACGACCGCCTTCCTTCTGGCGTGATGCGGTGGGTTCGCCTATGGGCCATAGCGCCCCGGACAACCAACCCACTTGTTTGGGCTTGCATGCGCTACAATATAACTGAGATAGTGCACGCACACCAAATGAAATGAGATGAAACAATTTTGTCCCATATGACGTACGATCCTACGAGAGTAGAAATGTCTGATACACTTAAAAGGAGTCCTACATTGTAGATAATAAACGCGGCTTGTTACTTTAAAAGAGTTCTAGTCGGTTATAGTATATGAATCATTAAGAGTAACATCGACAACTTTCGGATGACGCGTAAGATAATGAAAATGACTCTTCAAATAAAATCATCTAATTGAGACAACACTTTCAGAAGCCATCAGCAACTTTACTGATTTGTACTTAAGTGATTGCACTCTTCTGCGGTTCTTTGTAACGTACTCGAACTCTTGGCGTTGCACTACCACTTTGAAAGAAGCGAAGAGATTGGCAAACAGCCCCAAGCCAAAGAGAATACTTGACAAAAGGGCGATATCTTAGATTGCATCACAGCGTATGGTTTCTCTTCAACTGTCTCTCTGGACCGCAGTTTGCGTTTTATGGAAGGTATGCAACGCGCTGAACTTGACATGAATCGTTTTCTATCCGGCCTGTTTATCTTTTTCAGGGTGGGTGCCCAGCAGTGCCCGGTTCGGGCGAATCTGTATACTATCCCGCATGGTGGTGGCTCCTGTATCCAGCCCCTTTGGATCTGTTCGCATTTATGCAATACACTTTGCACGCCTGCATGCGGGGTAGTGGACCTATTCCGCTCCGACGGGACTGTCCACCCACCCTATCTTATTGGCGCCAACGAACTCCAAAAAGATAGAAACATATCATATAAGCGTTTTGTGTGGGACGAATAGTTGACAATTTGAACAAAAGAAAATCACGCTTCTGTGCTGGTCATTGAAAAGTCCCAGACTTATGGCATTTTCCATAGCGCTGCTTCCAGAGTGCTCCTAACGAACGTCTCTTGTTCGCACTTCCGTTCTAGAATGCGTTGGAGTATTCCATTCAAATATGTTGTGGCTGGTGCTTGACACAGTCAGAAGCACTCTTAAACTATATGGCTTTCCTGAACCAACTTATGTAGCCCTCGTCGTTTTCGTCAGGCATAGGAAAAGTGACCCTACGAGTATATGAAATACGGAAAAATAATAATGATATTTATCTATCTTTCTTGGCATCCACAAACTGGACTTGTGCAGAAGAAAAGAACTTCACTCAAAAAATGTTCAACACCCACACCGTTTCATTGTCCTCGTGAAGTGTTTTTTCTAACACTTTAACGGGGCAGGGAAAAGATTTTACCATCCCACATTGTGGTAAATGTCTTATTTATTGTTTAGCTAACCTCATGAACATGCATAAAGCCAAAAAGCAGGAGCAGGAGTATATATATTTTTTATTGTATTTTTGTGAATCATGTGAAATGGCCGTCGAGAACCACTTACCATCAAGACTTCTTTTAAATGGAAATTTGAATGAGAATTTGACCGCTCGAATGAAATCTGACCATTTCACATATAACCTTGGGGCGACCAGAGAAAAACAAAAACAAAAAACTCATTGCTACGACATTGTCCGTTTTGAGAATTCTTCTTTAGAACGTTTATTATGATGCTCCAGCCAAAACACCTCGCCCTGCTCATTGGAGAGCGCGGGAAGAGGAGGGTGAGGTAACAAACAAGTGAGCGTGTCCGCGACGCTGAGTCCCTTGTCCCAATGGATGGCACGTGACGTCAATGTTCTCACATCCCCCCCCCTCTTCCCCGGCTGCTTGGGTGGTGATTTGGCCAATGAATTGCCCATTTGCTACGCGCCATGTCTGTCTGTCAAATTGATTGCTTATCGCGATCGCAAGCTTGTTGTCATGAGGGCCATGTACTCCGCACTGTGCAGGTGGCGGGGCAGGTGGTGGGTGAGCAGGGGTTGGAGTGGATGCTGGGAATTTTGGGGTAAGTGTTGTGTCATAGATGGCAGATGCAGACTGCAAGACGAGATATCGGCCCACTTGAGATAAGGGTGAACGGTGGGGGGCATCAGACGCTGGAGCAGACATGAGACAGGTGCACTCAACGCGACTCAACTCGTCAGATCATCACTGACGTATATCTGCTTCCTTATAAACCCCCCTACAAATGTTATCAGATTCAACTGGTTCTGTCTCGGTGGGCCGCGTGGTCCTTGGCCAAGGACGATCTTGTGCAAACAGTTAATGTCCCCAAGAGAGGGAGGGGGAAGGGGAGGTAATGCCTCACTGTTCCCACGTGGGCTCCAGTGGCGCCGCATAGTAGCTTCGTACTGCTTCGTACACTAAAAAAGAAATACTAGCCCTCCAAGCTAACTAACAGATTAACTAAATTCGCGATAGCTGATCGTTTAAGCTTCCGGCCGATACGATATTAGCCGTCAGAGCCAACAGTTAGCTGTCACAGCGAATATTTCATTACAGGGGTTGATCAATCAGTTTCTTCGGAGACAAGAACAACATTTTTCTTGGTCTTAGTCTTCCGACAACTTAGGCTAATTTATGATCTGCTGGAAGCTACCTACTGTTAAGCAGTCATCACGAATTTTGTCAACCTGTAAGCCCAGACGCCCGATCTTTTCTTATAGTGCGAGTGCCGCGCCACCCCATGCGGCGTCTCCCCCTCCCCCTCCCCCTCAGCCAGCCCCGCCCAGCCCCGTCAGCATGCATGCGCCCCACGCCATGCCCCCCACGCCATGCGTCCACGCGTCGAGGCGCCGGGTCCAACCGCCTTGTTGTGGATTAGAGCGGGTTTGCTTACACTCCGAAGGTAAAACAATTTTTGGCAGTGTGCAGTGAACCCGCGGCCAAGGCCAGGGCCCGGCGGCCGAGAGAGCCCAGCTAGCCTGGCGAGGTGCACAGGAACTATTTCTGTTTTGTCTGTTGGCAGCGGCATCTGCAACATTCTCTGTGTCGACGCCGCCTCTCTCCCTCCAGCAGCAGCGGGGGTGACGCCCCCCCCCCACCCACGGCCCCATCTTCGCTCCTCCGGCCCCCCTTTTCCTCAACAGCCGTCTAAGTAGTTGGCAATTATTCGCGTGCCCACTGTGAAAGAGGCGACAACAAACTCCAACACGTCATCCCCCACCATTCGGAGACCATAAAGCTGTCACTGCCGTCGGCGGCGGAAGATCTCCCCGCTCGGGTGATCAGTTCTCCGGGTGAGGGGAGGTGGGGCGGGGGGGACTCCTGCACGTTAGCTGCACGGCCCGGTGCGCTCGGGCTCGTGGGCAACCCGGGGGGAAGGGAGGGGGGGGGGTAGCCTCTCACTTACTGCGTCCTCCTCATCGCCCTCCACGGGGCACAAGCAGGGGGACGGCGGGGTGGGAGCGACGCCGGAAGAGGTGCCGGGGGCGGCGTCGGAGAGACCCTCGTCGTCCTCCTCCACGTGCCGCCGCAGCTCGCGCAGGTGGTGCATCTCGCCGCCGCGCTTGAGCCGCTCCACGGCGCGGCGCACGGCCATGGTCTGCCGCACCACCGACGGG